TCCGCGTGTTTACTGACTATCTGTGTACTAGCATTGGAAAAATGTTCCTTGGAGGCCTTTGCCTATTAAAAAGATTTTGGGGGTTAACTTTTTAGTCTTTATACATTATGTATAATAATCCTTTGTCAGATATATGATTTATAAATATTTTCTCCTGTGCTATGAGTTGTCTTTTCATATTTTAATAGTGTCCTTTGAAACACAAAAGTTTTTAATTTTGATGAAGTCCAGTTTATGTGATTTTTCTCTGGTTCATTGTGTTTTTGGTACTATAAGCATGAAACCTACATCAAATCCCAGAAGCTTTCTGTTTTCTAATAAGAGTTTTATGGTGTTAGGCCTGATAGTTAGATCTTTGGTCCACTTTGAGTTAATTTTGTATATAAAGTGAGGTGGAGGTCCAAATTCAGTGTTTTCAGTATGAAATCCAGTTGGCCCAGCACCATCTGTTGAAGAGATTCTTATTTCCTCTATTGAATGACCTTGGCACCTTGTTAAAATCCAATTGAGTCAGGCATGGAGGCACATGCCTATAATCCCAGCACTTAGGAGGCTGAGGCAGGAAGAGCATTGCGAGTTCGAGACCAGCCTGGTTTACAAAGTGAGCTCAAGGCCAGCCTGACTCAAAAGACAAAAAAAAAAAAAAATCCAATTGACCATAGATCTATTTCTGTGCTGTTAATGATATTTCTTTGAACTAATGACTGACTTTATTCTATTGCCAGAATTTTGGTTACTGTAGTTTTGTAGTAAAGTTTGAAATAAGGAGGTGTCTGTCCTCTAACTTTGGTTCTTTCTTTCATTTGATTATTCTGGGTCAACTGCAATTGCTTATGAAATTTAAAATCGCTTTTTTTATTTATGCAAAAAAAGCCATTAAGATTTTGTTATGAGTTGCATTAAAAAGCTATAGATAGCTTTGAGTGGTTTTATAATCTCAACATATTAAGACTTCTAGTCTTTGTAAATGAAACAGCTTTTCAGTTCTTAAGATTTTCTTTGGGGCTGGGGATTTAGCTCAGCGGCAAAGCGCCTGCCTGGCAAGTGCAAGGTCGTGAGTTCGGTTCCCGGTACTGGAGAAAAACCAAAAAAAAAAAAAAAAAGATTTTCTTTGATTTATTTAAGCAATGTTGCACAGTTTTTGGTGTAAAAATACTGTACTTCTTGCATTTTATTTTATCTTATTCAGGAGGGGTTAGTGAAGACTGATCCAGAGCCTTGTGCGTGCTAGACAAGCACTGTACAGCAGAGCTGCTCCCAGCCATGACTTCCTTGACTGGGTTCATTTCCGTATTTGACTTTTTTTAGTGTTGGTTGTAATTAGACTTGTTTTCTTAAGTACATTTATGGTTTTTCATTGCTTGTCTGTAAAAATACAACTGATTTTTGTGAGTTGATTTGCAGCGCACTAAACTCCTTTATTAGCTTAGACAGTTTTTTTGGTAGGTTCTTTAAGATTTTCTCTATACAGTATAAGATCATGCCATTTGTAAATAGAGATAGTTTTACTTTTTCCTTTCCAATAGAAATGTCATCTTTTTTCTTTTCTTTTCTTTCTTTTTTTGGCCTAATTGCTGTGGCTAGAATTTTTAGAGCAATGTTGAAAGAAGTGAGGAAGCTGAGCATAGTGGCACATGCCTGTAATCCCAGTACTTGGGAGGCTGAGGCAGGAGGATCATTGTGAATTTGAAACCAGCCTGGGCTACAAAGTGAGCTCAAGGCCAGCCTGAACTGCATAACAAGACCCTGTCTCAAAAAGACAAAAAAGAAGCAAAGAATTGAGGAAAGCAGACATCTTTTAAATCTTTTTATTAGTAAATGTTTGTGGTATATGACAGTTATACTCATTTGGGCTGATTGGTATATATAAATCGTATTTTGATCATTTTAAACCAGTCCCCCACGTTTCCCTCTCCCTTTTCCCTATGTCCAAAAAGTCTAATTCACTGTTTCCTAAAATCTTTAGTTTGTGCTTTAAGTTTGTACTTTGGGTTTCTCACATAAGAAAAACTGTAATATTTTACTTTCTGTGTCTGATTTATTTCATTTAACACTAAGACCTCAAGATCTACTTATTTCCAACAAATAAATTAAATTCCCTCTTCTTTATGAGTAATACTCCACTGTGAATGCATACCATCTGCTCTTTATCCATTGGTCTACTGATGGGTATGTAGGCTGTTTCCATAACTTGGCTATTGCGAATTATATTGCTGCAGACGTGAATGTGAACGTGTCATTCTAGTAAGATGAACAGAAGAGCCGTGGTTGGTCAAATGAACCTTCTATTTTTAGCTTTTTGAGGAGTCTCCATGCTGATTTCCATCGTGACTGTACTTGTTTGCATTCCTACCAACAAGGTGGAAGGGTTCCTCCTGCCCCAACCTCACCAGGATTTGATTTTAGTCCTTGACTCTAGCCATTCTTACTGCCCTGAGACAGAATGTCAGTGACGTTCTGAGTTGCATTTCCCTTACAGCCAACGTCACTGAACACTTTTTAATGTACTTATTAGCCATTTGCCCTTCTCCTTGTGAGATGTGTCTGTTCACTTTAGTTGCGCATTTTTAAATTGGAAGTCTTTTTGTTTCGGGAGGCCTAACTTAATACCTAGAATATACATGTACGTATTTTTCTACATATCAGTCATCTGTCAGAGAAGTAGTTGGCAGAAAGATTTTCCCATTCTGCATGTTGGTTTTTCACTCTGTTGATTGTTTCCCTTATGCAATCCCATTTGTTGACTCTTGGTATTTTAGTTTTCTTTTTTCTGTTGAGTTCTTGTCCAGTTTTGGTATGTAGGCAATGCTGGCTTCAAGGAATTAATCTGGCAATATTCCTTCTCCTTCATTCTCTCAGAAGAATTTGAAAAGTGTTGGTGCTGGGTCTCTGAATTTCTGTGAAATTCAGTGGTGAGTCCATCAGGTTTTGGACTTTAACTTTGTTGACAGAGTTTTTAATTACTGCCTCAATTTCATTGCCTATTGTTTGGCTATTCAAGGATTTCTATCTTCTTGATGTAATTTTGGTAAGTTTTATGTGTTTAGAAATTTATCAGTGTCTTCCAGATTTTCCTGGTTATTGGAATATAAGTTTCCTGTGGATTTCAGCAGTGCCTGTTATTTGCCTTCTTCATTTCTAATTGCATGGATATGGATCTTTTCTATCTTCTTCTTTTTTGGTAAATTTGGTTAAAGATTTGTTGATCTTTATCTTCTTAAAGAGACAACTGTTTGATGCACTGATCCTTTGTATTTTTTGGTCTTGGTTTCATTTATTTCCACTCTCATCTTTATAATTTCTTTCCTTCTACAAGTTTTGGATTTGGCCTGCTCTTATTTTTCTAGGCCTTTGATATGTATCATTATGTTATTTATTTCATAATGCTATGTTTCCCTAATGTACTTGCTCAGAGCTATAAATTTCTTGTTACAAATGCTTTCATTGTGTCCCACAGGCTTTGGTATGTTGCACTGCCATTCTCATTTCATTCTTGTGACCTTTACATCTCTTCCCTTATCCATTCCGTTCACTGATTGTTTAGGAATGTATTAATCTCCACATGTTTGCATAGTTTCTGTGGTTTCTTTTGCTGTTGATTTCTAGTTTTATTCCATGATGATCTGATAGAATGCAAAACAGTATTTCAATTTTTTGTATTTAGTTAAAATACTTTATGGCCGAACATATGGTCTGCTTTGGATAAAGTTCTGTAGACTGCTAAGAAGAGTGCATATTCTGTTGTTGAATGAAATACTATATAGACATCTGTGAAGTCATTTGTTCAGTGTTGTTGCTGTCTATTTCTTTGCTTAGTTTTTGCTTGTTTGGCCTCTTTGTTAGAATGGGGTATTAAGACCCCACTATGATTGTATCAGTGTCTATCTGTCCTTTGATGACAAGAAGTTTTTGTTTCATGAAATTGGGTATGCTGACATTTGATGCATAGATATTTACAATCGTTACCTGACCTTTACCAACATATAATGACCTTATTTGTCTCTTCCAATCAATTGTGGCGTGAGGCCGACTCTGTCTGAAATTGGGACTGTTGTGCCTGGCTGGCTGGGGGCTCCAGTTGCATGGAGTATCACTTCCATCCTCTCACAACCAGTCTCGGCATTGCTTCCCAGGTGAGGTGTCTCTCTTCTAGGCAACATATAGTTGAGTTTTGTTTTCTGATGCAATTTTCCAGCTGGTGTCTTTCGATTGGTGAGTTAACACTATTTACGTTGAGGGTTGTTATTGAAAGGTATTTACTTACTGATTCTCGTCACTATTATTTTTTAGTGATGATTCATTTCTACTTTGCTTTAGTTTAACTAATGTTGCAGTTAGAGTTAGATGTGTTCTTTCCTTTGGACTCTTTGGTAACCTTGGCCTTGCTCTCTGTGTTTGTAACTCCTTGACTACTTTCTGCAGTGCTTGTTTAGTGGTCATGAATTCTTTTAGACTCTCTTTCCATCAAATTTAAAGCAGAATTTTGCAGGGTATACTAATCTTGGCTGGAAATTGTTTTCTTCTAGGGTTTGAAAAACTTCATTCCAAGTTCTCCAGGTCTTTAAGGGTCATGTTGAGAAATCTGAAAGCAAATATCTTTTTGTTGTTTCTGATTGTAGAAGGAAAGCTTTCCATGTTTTCCCACTTAATGATGTTATTTGTGTGCATTCATTAATTTTAGAATATTTTTGCTCCAATTTTGAAATAGCAGAGTAAAATGGCACAATATAGAAATGTAGGGCATTCTGAAATTTCACCCATTCCTGGAAATAAGCACCATTTATATTCTGAAAATTGATCATTAACTACTCTTTTAATATTTTTTCAAATATATAACTTGGTAGATATTGTCTATATTATTAAAATAAGAAGAGAAATTAATGTTTTATTTGTGATACCTCAGATAATTGGAATTATCTTAATTACCAAGCATTTTGAAATGTACTATCTTTGGAAATTTTTGGTTATTTTAATATGTGTTTTCTGGTTTTGAATTTTAGATTGGTTTTGTCCTGTATCCCCCCAGTGGAGGTCCTGCATGGGACCTGACTGATCATGAAAACATTATGTTTCTCACCATATGCTTTTGTTGGCATTATGCATTGGCCTATGTCATCATTGGAGTGAATTATGCTTTTATCACCTGGTAAGTTAGTACATTTTGTTCATGGAAGAAGGTTCATTCTTTGGCATGCATGTATGATCATGAAGATGTAATATTCTTGAACTTAGATTTCAAAAGCTTTTTTTCATTTCTTACCATGTCATCAGACAGAGTAGTATAGGTGAAGATTATCTGTACAGTTGGATATTGTCAGTAAAGAGAATACATGCTGGTTTGAAAGTGGAAAAGCTGAATGGTGTTTCTGCTGTGCCTCTGATCCGTGAACTGCCCTTCACCACCCTCTGCCATGCACCATGTCTTCACATGTGCTGTCTCCTCTTGTGAACGACCTGTCCCAGCCTGTAGTGAGTCCCCACCCGTGTGTACGTATTCTATGTATAGTAGTTCCTAAGCTTGGAGCTGTTATTTCACAAACTCCTATGAGTTCCACTAAGTTTGAATACCTGCTAATTTTGACATGAACTCCACTATTTCTAAAAGCTATACGGTACATTTCTTATAAGAATCCTGATATGATGTTCCATGAGAGAGTGAGAAGCAGTCAACAAATTGATCAGAACATGTATGCGTAGTTCTGCTGACTATTGGCTGTGTAACTTCAGGACAATTATTTAACCACAGTAAGTCTCAGTCTTATTGTTTGTAAAATTAGGATGATAATAGTACTAAGTGAGAGCATGTGCTTCAGCTGTTTAAAACATAGCAAGGGCTCGATCAACATTATCATCTCCTCGTTGTTGTTGCTCTCCTCCCCTTGCCTTTTCCTTCTCCTTTCTCTTTGGTATAAAATCGTGAGGTCTGCCTGGCAAGCACAAGGTTGTGAGTTCAGTTCCCGGTACCGGAGAAAAACGAAAACTAAAAACAATAAAATAAAATCGTGAGGTTTAGATTTTACTCATGAAGAAGTTTTAGTCCTATAGTTAGGACCAACTTAGAGAAATATACAACTAAAATTCAGAGCAATTAATGGAAATACTAGAAAAACGAAACATTGCTAGAGTTTAGGGAATGCTTCCAGAGTTGAAAATTAAGCCTCAGCTTGCAAGATAAGCAGGAATAAATGACCATGGTTTCGCTTTCTAAGGTATCTAGTGCCGAACGCTAATGGATTTAGCTAACCCCAGTCACCAGGTATAAAGACTCCAGCACCCAGTCCTCCAGAATTCAATCCTGATTTTTTTTTTTTTTTTTTTTTTTTTTTTGGTTTTTCTCCGGTACTGGGAACCGAACTCACGACCTTGCGCTTGCCAGGCAGGCGCTTTTGCCGCTGAGCTAAATCCCCAGCCCCTTCAATCCTGATTGACATGTCCTGTGTCCGCAGTGTTTTATATCTACAGTATCCAACATGGTAGCCACTTGCTATCGAGCACTGGAAAAGGGCTAGATCACATTACCGCTTGTGTGCATACGCAGTTAATGTAAATGTCCATCGCAGATACTGGCTGCCATGTGCGACACTGCACAGCTCGCAGGTGCCTGGAATGCTGGAGCTGCTTCGAGGCCTCCTGGGGTCTTCGCTTCTGCTGGAGCCAGCGTTCATTCTCTCTAGACACGAGCCTCACATCCCCGCTCCTGCTTTGCGGTTGTGTTTTGTGGCTGAAGTTGCTGTGACCCTGGGTTTGGAACTTCTTTTGCCTAATTCTCAACATCACCGCTAGGCTTTGGGTCGGCCTGTTTTCATGTGTGTTGTCTCCTCTTAGAGGTCTAAATTTCTTTGGGTACCAAGAAATTCTGCCTTCTCACTGCCTGACTGCCACTTACTTCCGTTCCGTTCTCCAAAAGCATGTGCATGAGTTCGTCCCTGAGGCTGTCTCTGCGCTGAGTGAAGCTTGGCCTCTCCCCTGCTGTTCTAGGCTGACGTCTGGGCCTCACCTCCCTACGGTCTGGGCAGCCTCCAGGAATAGTGCCAGGACTCAAGGCCACACGCTCCCCCATGTCAGATCCCCTCCAGAGCCAGAAGAAGATTATGATCTCTTCCTGTTTCAAAAACCTTCAGAAGAGTGATGTACTTCTTATTTATTTACAGTTCTAGAAACCAAAAACTCCATTCTTGTTTTTAAATCTCTCCATGACCTACCACAGGCCATTCTAGTCTTTGTGACCAGGCATTCCCCTCTACTGGGTCTATCCGCATTAAACGCATGTGTCCTCTATCCAAGCTTCTGTGACTCCGCTAGCCTTTGCTCTTCTCCCATCCGAAGATCCTCTGCACTTTTGTATCCACCAGACATTTTAACAGTTGTGTTCTGTCTTGTACTGTTGACCATTAGGTCATATGTTTAGTCTTATCTGGTAGCTAGATTTTTGTCTCTTTGTGAAAGAGACCTCTTTCGTAGTCCCACACCTGCTGGCACACTGCCAAACAAAACATATATACTCAATAAGCATTTATCAACTATTTTAATAAATCTGTGCTTCAGGAATATTTCAATATAGGCTTCATTTGTTGAAAATCATGCTTTATATGCTTTCTGGTTTCACTGTCATATTGCTTTTGGGAAGCTAAGACCAAGAATTCAATTTTTCTAAACATATTTTGATATGAATTTAAAAACAACAGCTTTAAAATGTTACAAAGGAGCCAGGCCTGGTGGCGCACACCTATAATCCCAGTACTTGGGAGGCTGAGGCAGGAGGATTGTGGTGAGTTCGAGACCAGCCTAGACTACAAAGTGAGCTCAGGGCCAGCCTGCACTGCATTGCGAGACCCTGTCTCAAAAAGACAAAAAATAAATAAATAAATCAAATGTTATACAGATGCAGTACTACCCTTCAGTGAGGTTACATGACTAACTCTTTTAGTCCTGAATTTCAGACTAATGAGCCTTAAAAATTTGCGGGTCAGGATTTAACCCTGTGTAGTAGTTTGTAACTAATCCGCAGTGATTAAGTGTCAAAATATTATATCAGAATTTTTTTGACATAGTACTGAGATCCTCATTAAAGTATAAGTTATGAAACCATACAACTTCTGAAATATCGGAAAGATAAAGCTGCACTTCTCAGCATTTCTGAGGAACAGTTGAAAGATCGCTCCACACAGTTCCATACCTGCAGTCTTTTATCTGTTAGTCATAGGTGAGACTGAACTCTGTGCAAATCTTATTATGTGCTTATACTTTACTTCATATTCGAACACTGCCGCTGCACAAAGCTATTTCAAGAGCCATCCTTTTATATGTAGGAAAATGTTATCCATTTACAGATGCATTTTCTAAGCAATAACTCGTGTGAATGACTTTGACCCACACATAGAGACATGCAAATGCCAGGCACATGATAGTTTCCTGGAAGTGGATCCACTATCTCAGTTCGGTTTATTGTCAGATTAAATGAAGAAAACATGAGATTGAGGGCACAGGTACACCCTAACCCTAGTTCCAGGGATTTGTATCATTTTATTTTTTTTTATTTTAAAGAGAAGAAAAAAAAACAACAACAAAGACAAAAGCCAAACAACACAAAAACAGTAAAAGTGACACAGAATTTCAAAATAAGATGATAGGAATTAGCAGTGGTTGTTATATTGCATCTCATTAGTAGCTAGCTATTATTAACATTTTCTCTGTTACCTCAGATCTCAATTTGCTCTAAGTGGTCATTTCTGTATATGCAAAACCGAGAACTGCAGTTGGCAGATAAAGCCTGTTAAAGGTACCTGAATGTGTCTCAGCTTGGTGTCCTGTAGCAACAGCAGGTGCACCTTAGAGACAAGGAATGGGAAACAGGAGGAGTCATTAGGGTCTGTGCTAACAATTATTTTATTGTAAGTAGCCGTGGATTATTTTATTAACCACAAGAATCTTCAGAAATGAAACTAATCAATTACGTAATGAATTGGTTGCATTTCACGTGTGTGGAACTTGTGTAATGTGGAAATAATATGTGGGTTTTTTTCTTTTTTGAGACAAGGTCTTGTTATGTAGTTCAGACTAGCCTTAAACTGATTATATAACGTCAGCTAGCCTCAGACTCACACATAGAGATCCTCTTGCCTCAGCCTCCTGAGTGCTGGGATTATAGGTGTGTGCTACCATGTCCAGCTGAGCTTGTGATTTTTAAAAGATGACACAATCTTCTTCAGTCTTTGACTTGTTAGTGAGTACTAGCCTTTCATGGGAACCAGAGAGTAAAGTTTGGGGACCTTGGGCTCAACATCGGTAGTCAATTAATAATTAAGGGAAATGATTTTGAGCAATTTCTCTTGGCCCCTAAGTCAGCAGATTTTATTGATACTGCTCAGTCATTGTTTTATGGAGGAGTTAATGCTAAATTCGAAGTGACTGAAGAATTAACCTCTATGAAAAGGTGACTTATGTGAGCTCCTGGCACATTTCCCCAAGTAAGAAATGTCAAATGTGTCCTCGGCCGCTACTGTGTACCAAACGTTGGTCTAGATTCTGGCTTTGGTTAGGAGAGCAAGTAAGATGAACTTTGCTCTTGTAAAGCTTTAGTGAGATTTAGAGCACAAGTGAAGTCATGACATTCTACAAGGACAGTCAGAACTTCATCAGAAGAGAAAGCGGGAAACGTCTTAAATCCTTTATAAGTCCTTAGTTGTTAATGTGAGGTTAAATAAAACCAGAAGGAAGAAAGGAGGAGGAGGAGGGGGAGGGGGAGGAGAAGGGAGAGGGAGGGGAGGAAGAGAGGGAGAAGGAGGAAAGGCAGAAAATAAGAATAAAGGTCCAGGTGGACTAGGAGAGTTTTACCAAAAAAGAAAATAACTTTGATCTGGTCTATCAGATTTGTTTCCATACCCACATGCATCTCCAGCAACCGTTTTATTGATGTAGCTGTGGTAAAATGCCCCTGTGGTAATCATGCACAGGAGGAGTTTTACAAAGTTCTTAGTTTTCTTTCTTCTCATGTCGAGAAAGTGGAGGTTTTGTCATTAAGAAGCTTCAGATATTCCAACCTCAAAAATTATAATCCCTGCCCTGCCAAATCTACAGTTAGCGTCTCTGAAACTGTAAAAGTAGTCACAGGATCAAGGACGCCTCTCTGTATCCCTTGGGAGGCCGCCCCATGTGGGTGGAGTGCCTGTGTCCGACACAGAGAAGGGCTGTGCCTTTCTACCAAGTAGAGGCTGGAGTTGAGTCCAGACTTGATGTGAGACTTGTCTTGGCCTGACAGACTTACGGGAGGAGATGACTTCCTCTCTTCCGCTTTAGGAGAGAACATCTTTCAGCAAAACCATTTAGGTGCAATTTTAATGAAGAACTTCCCCAGATCTCAGTGACATTTGGAATTGCTACAGCCCAGAGAGTCTCTTGTTTATTTAAGAAATATTGAATGCCCTTTTCTAATGCCTAATTACACAATCACATAGCCAAGCGTGGTGGTACATGCTTATAATCCCACCTTTGTGAGAGGCTGAGATGGGAAGATTGAGTTCAAGGCCAGCCTGCACACCATGGCAACCTGCCTAAAAAGAAAAGTCACATAATACATTTGAAAGCCACATTTTATCTGCTTACCTATATCATGGCATAATTCACAAAATTTTTCAGCTAGTTCTAAAGCCACGTAAAATGGTTTTATATTTTGGATTGTCTCCCCTATGTACACAAAAAATCTGGATTTTGTTGCATTACGGCTGAATATTAAGTTCTTATTTTAGACATCATCTAACCCGAAATGATTTTTTTCCCTTTAGGTTGGTAAAATCTAGACTTAGGAGACTCTGCTCCTCAGAAATTGGACTTCTGAAAAATACTGAACGAGAACATGAATCAGAAGAAGAGATGTGACTTTCATGGGCAGTCAATCTACTTAGATAAACATTTTCCTTTTTTGCACTGTCTTTGCTCATTATTTTCTTTCTTGACCATTTGAAAAACAAGTGGCTGAAGATGACTCCATACAGCTTATGTTTTAAATTTTGTTGAAATATTTGAATTTAAATATTTTGTTTTTAGTTTTGAGACACTTTGGGTGATAAGTTCATTTTGCATATCATTCATATCATGGTATTCAGAGTCTAGACTGATTTTCCCAACATCAGCCATAGTTTGAGAATTGCACTACAAAAAATGTTTCATTGCCTTATGGACATATGTTGAATGTTTGCTGCCATTGAACCGATTGAACATAGAATTATAATTGTTTATCTTTTCGTTTCAATGGAAAATAAATGAAGGCATATAAGCTAGTGCAGAAACCTCAAATCCTTGATTTTGTTATTAAACTATACCTCACTCTTGCCTGATGCAGAAGAGGCTACATGCCACAGAAATTCTTTTCTGAGCCAGGGATGTAGCTCAGTGGCACAAGCGCTCTCCGGGCAAGCTCAAGGTCCTGAGTTTGATCCCCAGTACAGGAAAAAAAATCATCCCATATTTACTCTTGGGGCTGGGGATTTAGCTCAGTGGCACAGAGCCTGCCTGGCAAGCGCAAGGTTGTGAGTTTGATTCCTGGTACCGGATAAAAACCAAAAAAAAAAAAAAGAAATTCTTTTCTGTGAGACATTCCTAACAGAAGCATCTGAGTTCTTCCAAAGGAAAAGTAAATCAGAAATTACTGAGGAGCATGAAGAAGGTGATCCCCAAGACAGGTAGTTGCAAAGCCAACAGAGACAGTGCTAACAGTGTTTTCTGGAAGAGTAAAGTTACATCATAGCACGGCCACCATGCCAGATCCTCCATTAAAGCAGATAAAGAGTTAAAAGAAGGAAAAACCTTAAAGAACATGTGAATAAAACGTGAGAGCCTTCACCCAGCCTGTGGACAAAGTTGCCAGTGGAGAATCAGGCAATCTTGCTTCTAATTCTGCCATTACCGCTCACCATCCACTGTGTCTGTAGTAATCAGCATGTCCGTCTCTCTAACGTGAGAGAATTGAGTTGAGTGACTCACGGGCCTCTTTCTTGGATGACACATGTCAGAAATCTCAAAATGGCAGCATGCAGACAGGTAGAAAGACCAGTCTGTGCCTGAGGAAGGAGGGAGGACCGCAGGCCTCCTGAGGAATGGCCACATGTAGAGAAGGAGCCAATCTTGTAGGCAGCTGGAGCTGCAGCAGTTCAACCTGAAGGCTCCCTGGCGGGCCGAAGCACTAACAGTTCCAGAAACGGCTCCATCTGCTACACATCACAGTGGCACTGGGGAGGGAGGCGAGCAGATTCTTCCGGCCCAGGAACTGGACAGTCATTTATTTATGTAAGGTTTGAAAAGAGCAGAGTTCGGTACTCAAGTGTTTATCTTGACTAATGCAGTAAGTGTTAGTTCATTTAGCCTAAGAAAATGTTCACACACCGTGGTCCTTCGGGACTTATGCGTGCTCAGCAAGGTGTGGTTAGTATCTGAGGACTCTTCCGCTCCATCAATCTTCTTTCCCTTCGGCAAATCTAGGTTTCAAAGGAATGAGTGAGAAGACAGCTGCTGTTACTTGGCACTAGAGTTGCTCGTGTAAAAGTCTAAGCAGTAAGCTTAGAATTACTGGTGTGAATCAGATTAAGCCTGGAATTTGAAATCGAATAAATGCTAATGTCCTTCAGTTTCTCAAAGAGCAGAAATGTCCATTTTCCCGGTCTCTGCACAGAGAATACAAGGAAGATGCAACCTCGTGAGTTCTCGCAAGAGGAACATTTGGTTCAAACCTAAGAGCACAGTCGGGAGCTACCCACCTCCGGTTCTTAAAATGAATTTTAAAACCTTGTTGTAACTTTAAAATTATATATTACTGGATTTGTATTTTACAACTATGATTTTTAAGGAATGGTACAAAATATTAGTAAACTGAGATTAAGCCAAAACAGAAGAGTCTGGTATTTTTTATGGTAGACAGCCTTGGATCAGTAGGTAGAATCTGTTAAGGTTTTGCTTTATAAAGAATTATATTTCAGTGAGTTTTCTGAAACCACAGCAGATATTTTATAACAAAAATCTATGAGGTTCTTAACTCCAGAACATAAGACGAAAATTCACTTCTGGCTATGTGAGTACCAGTGGAATTATTCACCCCACAAATGTTTACTAATCAGTGTCCCTATGCCAAGTGGTGTGCAAGAGCCTAACATAGTGATACTCAAGCCAAAGCGCTCACTGTGATCATCAAACTTAATACCAGTGGAGGAGACAGACAAATGAGCATGTCAAATATCTAAGTTTTGTAAATGAGATAATGATATGTAGAAAAATAAAGCTGGGAAGGAAGCTAGAGAATGATCTTTCAGGGGAGTGATACCATTTTCCCTAGGATGGTCCTATCCCAGAAGTGTTTCTTTGATCACCTTAGGGAAAAACTATCCCTACCCCTGCCTCTCTGACATTATTTGAAGTCGTAATGAAAATGAAGTATTTAAATTACTCAATCTTATTGTATTGGAGCCTATTGGACCCTTATGTTGAAGAACTTTTTCTCCAACAGCTGCAGAATACACACCAGTTTTAGCAGCTAATGGGACTTTCTCAAAGCAGGTTATCTTTAGGCCATAAAGCAAGCCTTAATACATATAAGAAAATTTCTTGGATCTCATAAGAAAATAATGGAGTAAAACTAGAAATCAATGATAAGAGAAACTACAGAATTTATACAAACACATGGAGATTGAGTAATTCACTTTTCAACAATCAGTGGGTCATTAAAGCTCTCAAGGGAGAAATAAAAAATTCTCAGGACCAAATGAAAATGGGGATGCAACGTACCAGAATCTCTGGAATGTAGCAAAAGCACTTCTAAGAGAGTCCTTTTAACCTATGAGGGGCAAAGTCATTCTAACAAAAAGAATAATGCTGGAGGCATCACAGTATCCAATTTCAGTATATACTGCAAAGGCGTGGTAACTGAAAAAGCGTGATACTGGCTCAAAAATAGACACCTACAACCACAGAATGGACTGCAGCACACTGAAGCAAGCCTAAACTGCAGTCATCTGATTCTTGACAAAGGGGCCCGGAACGTCCACTGGAAAAAAAGATAGCCCCGTCAGCAAACATTGCTAACAAAACCGTACATCCACATGTAGAAGACTGAAACTAGATCTCTTGCAAAAATCAATTCAAAGTGAATCATAGACCAAAGTATAAGACTTGGCGCATTGAGACTGCCAGAAGAAAACACTTGGATTCATAGGCACAGATAACAATGTGCTGAATAGGACTCCAAAGGCAATTAATAGCAAGAATCAGCAATTTGGACTACATAAAGTTTCAGCCCAGCAAAGCAAATAATCAACAAAATGAGGAGACAACTTACACAATGTTAGAAAATATTTTCCAGTTGCTTTTCTGAATACTTAGAAAAGAAGTTAAAAAAAAAACCAACCCGTGCACACACACACAATCCCACCACGAATGGCCCCAATTATACCTGGGCAAATGAATTGAATAGGTATTGCTCACAGGAAAGATTACACATGGCCAATAGGTACATAAAAAAGTCCAAAACCTTTAGTCCTTAGGAAAGTACCAATTAAAACTGCATTGAACTTCCATATCACCAGTCAAAATGGTTATTATTAACAGTATAAAAATGGTGCGTGCCCGTGAGGGTGTGGGAGAGCAGGGGCACGTCTGCGCTGGCGGAGGGCTGTAAACGAGCACAGCTACTGCGGAGTCAGGGCTGCCTGCTCCCAGCTTTTATCCCGTTACTCCCGCCACACCCAGCGATCCCTGCGTTCCCTGATCAACCCACAGTCAGGATCTAATCAGTACAGCCTTGACTGCTGAGCTTCTGCGGTGGGGGAATGGTGAAAATACAAACAGGGTCGTGAGCCGGCTTCTCATTCCGACGGGGAGCTGCAGTCAGAGGCTGCTGTCTGCCTTGATTAGGAGACCACAGTTCACTGAGGAGCTGCTCCCACGTCCGCAGCTAAGGTCGAGATCGTTCAGTAATCAGCTCCCAACTTGAGCTCTCACAAGCACACAAGCACCCTGGCTTCCACCCCAGGGTTCTGCCTGCCTTAAAATGTTCCTCAGTCCCTGTACACCGACCGCAGCACTGGAGATCATGCACTGCCTTTAAATACGGGAAACAAGCGTGCGACACCCATGGAGGAAGTACGGCAAAAGTATTTCAGGGCGTGAGCCCCGGCGTTCTGGAAGAGGTGAGACAAAGTACAAATATAAGGGAGGAAATCCTCATCCCCACCCCCTGGGCTTCTTAGAGGGCCCACAGCTCTGGAGACATGTGACTGTATCAGTTATATCTGTTTGATGAAATTGGCTATGCTAGTGTTCAGTGTATATATATTTACAATTGTTATGTCTTCTGGGTGGATTTTTTCCCTTTACCAATATGTAGTAGCCTTCTCTTTTTTTGTTGTTTGTTTGTTTTTGTTTTTCTTCCGGTACCAGGAATCAAACTCACGACCTTGCGGTTGCCAGGCAGGCGCTTTGCTGCTGAGCTAAATCCCCAGCCCCTGCAGTGGCCTGCTCTGCGTCTTCCAGTTTTGTCTTGAAGCCTGCATCACTGGATATATGTATAGCTTGTCTTGGTTATTTCTGGATCCCATTTTCTACCTGTTCACTTTCACTTTGTGTGCCTTTTCTAGTGAGGTATGTTTCTTGCAGTCAGCAGAGTTGTATCTTTTTTTTTAGTTCAGTCTTTTACCCTGTGTATTTTAAATGGAGAATTAAAACCATTTAAATGCAGTTATTAAAGAAAGGTATGTACAATTTCCTGTTACTTGGTTTTTCTAATGTTTCATCCCTTTCCAATTCTCATTAGTTTATCTGTTTCTGCTCTGTGAAGGGAATACTGTTAGTGAGTTTGGCAATGCCAGCCCAATAGTCACGGGTTGCTTTAGTTTATGCTCATCTCGGAAGGTCTTTGTTTCTTTTTTAAATCTAAAGGAGAGCTTTGTTAGATATAGTAATCTAGGTTGGCAGTTGTTTTCTCTCGGGGCTTTGTAATACATTATCCAAGCCCTCTGGCTTTTAGAATTTATGTGAGAAGCCTGTAGTTATTCTGACTGGTTTTTCTTTATAAATGACTTAACGTTTCTGCCTTGCAGTGTTCTTCCCTGCATGCCTGCAGTCTTAACTGCAGTGTGACATGGGGAGACCCGCCTCTGTCAGGTCTGTTGGGTATTTTAGATGCCTGTCACACTGGAATCCAGATCCTTGCTAAGAGGTAGGAAGCTTTCTGCTATTATTTCACTTAATAGGTTTTTCTGTCGCTTTACTCTGTATGTCAGTGACCTCTTCTACACCCAAAATTAGTATGT